TAAGAAGTTTTTTGGAGGCGTGGCGTATAATTCGGAAATCTTAGTTAATTATATATCAACCTATGAGAACATGCTAACTTAACCTGAAGTTCAGGCCCTAATTTTAAATAGGGCCTGATACAAAACCTGTCTAGACCGTGGGACGCTCACATGTTATTTTTAGACACAGCATGCAATATGATTGACAAGTGTTATAGATTTCGTTACACAAAAAATTTATATTCTCATGAACATGTCCGCAGAGTGTGCATTTTGCTTTTTAATTAAACTTAAAAATTCAAGGTACTTTTATATAATTAAGAGTCAGTTTCTCTATTTAACCGAACAGCAAACAAAGATTTAATTATTCAGTTCTGTGCACGGCTTGACTGCCAAGCTTTCTCAAGGTCTCAACTTGCTGGACGCGGATATATACCAAGGATATACTTTAACGGGCTAACAACAGCAACAATAAAATTCTCAATCGTACCACGAAGAAGGCGATGTAGCTCAGAAAACAACGCCGGTAGGACCTGATATTAAAAATAAGACTTTTGCCGGCGAAGCCAGTTGGCAGAACATCTTGGCTGTCAACAACAAACTTTCGAATAGATGAATAGTTTGGCTGTTCTTTCAGCGTCGTGTGTCCATGCAAAATTCGTCAAAGATTTTGATAAAGACCTTTCAAAATACTATTTGTTTGATTTATTTTCTGCCATAAAGCATAAAAGAAAGGAAATTCGAAGAAATCGATAATGGATTTGTTACGTGCGTTTGACCTTTATATTAATTCTCGCCTTGACCGAGCTATTTTTAAAACTGTTGTTTATGTGAACTTGCAACCAATCAAAATCTTAGGGCCTGAACTTCAATTTAAATCTACAGGCACGATGTTTTATATTTGAAGTATTCAAGCGCGAACAGCGGTATATATTTATTATATAGTTTTCTTTGTTTTTCTTCATTTTAAACACTACTACTGTATTTCTGGACCGCTCGGCCCCTCCAGGTAATGAAAATTTATACTAATACGTGCAAAAATTACCAGAACCCGCCCGCCTCACAAAATGAACCAATTTCATTGCTCGACATATACAAGTGATCTATGGTCACAACCGCTAATTACAGACGTCTGGTATTTCTATAATTATATTGGAACGAAACATTATTTCTTTTTTAAAGAAATATTTTCTTGTTGAATTTATAATGCCCATTTTAACAGGTAAATGATACATTGACACGGTAAACAAAATGGCTACCAAGAGGCGAGAGACGCTTCGAGCTGTCAACTGGCGACAGTTCAGCGAAGCCAAAGTTGGCTTTACGTGAAGGTAGTTCGAGGAAGAGCCTTTTCCAAAACAATTTCTCAAAGTTCTGTATCCAGCAGGAATGAAAATCCAGTGTCATGGACTAAACAAGAAACTTGTATGCTATTTATAAATAAATACAGTATATATGTCTGTATTGGAAAGATCCCTGGAACGACAAATGGCCAACAACCAAAGATAAAGAGGATATGCCCAAGCAGTAAAAAATGCATGTAAATCCCAATGATCAGGTATGGTATTCGAATCATATTATTATTATTGATTTAAATTAAATCAACTAACCGAGCATTGAGTGCCAGTGCCCCTCCTTGACAAGTAAAATCAGAGTAAAATAATAAAGAAGGGCACATTAGGATGGAATGTAACTTAACAGATTAAATTCATAATATAATTTCAGGCTGAACACATTTGCAGGCTGAAACATTTGTAAACAACAAATGGAAATTGAGTTGACTGCATCTTTAAACAACAAGCTCCCAACAATGTTGTGATTAAATTTGACTGATAAATTAAATGCCATTTATATATTCCTATATTTCATTAATTAAAGCAAAATATTTTAATTGTTCTAGGAGGTTCATGTAGAACCCGAGTCCTAAAAACCTTGGCGAAGAATGTGGTACATTGAGTGATGCAGAAAAAGATTTTGAAATTGACTATGTACATGATTCTGTTGGCTCAGCTATTCCTGTGCCATCAAGTCCTGCTGCTGTGTTCAATTTTAGTGATAATCTCTCACCAATTTTCAAAGAGTCACCATGTAAGGGCTCAGCAGGAAATAACCCAGGTACTCTTGGTGATATTGTCCAAAATCTCATCACAGCCTTAAGTCCCAAAGATTAAAGGAACAATTATTGAACTATTTATAAAAGCTTTTTTTATTGAGCTTGGAGGCATGCATGGCTTTATACCAATTTGTGCAGGCAGATTTTCTGGACAAAAGTTTAAATGCCATGAAAACATTGCAAGAGGGCAAGAAGAACTTGCTTTATGGTATGTCATGGTGCTTTGAGAGATGAGAAGATGGCACACCTGAGTGGCTTTGCCACCAGTGCCAAAACATATGTAAGCACATTGGTCAAATTTAGAAAAATTTCTCCCACTCATGCGGGCTCGTATTGCCAGCGGACACTCTCCTCCGCAGAGGCTTTGTAGTTTGTTTTCTTTCTATATAAGTTTGACTTGCGAGCAGTAGCGGCTCCAAATGTCCATGATGCCCCCTTTTAACCCCGCGCTTGCTCCCCCCCTGTGTGCCCACTTCTCTACCTAGCCCGCTACTGCCCGCAAGTCAAACTTATAGAAAGAAAGAAAACAAACTCATTCTCATAGAAAGAAAACAAACTACAAAGCCTCTGCGGAGGAGAGTGGTCAGCGGACATCTTACAGAAAGTGGGCAGTTCTGTGCACAGTACACACAGTACATAACCTTATGCACATATTTGTAAATAACAAATAACAATGAATATAGTCATTCATATTTATAAACACGTTAAAAACAGACAAGTTAATTTGCTTTACAAATGTTGATTTTTTAATAAGATGGGCTGCATCAAACCAGTTCTATTCAGTATATTTTATGCATTTACATAGCAGACTTGCTAGCTTTGACCACATTAGGATGCCATGAACCTTTTTTGGATATGTTAATTGTGTGATAAAATCCAATTCGCATAAAAGTTGTATGTAGTTTGATGTATTTTATAGACACATGATCAAAGCTAGGGCCGTTCATATGGGGGCTAATTTACTGTGTCAGTTCACTTGCAATCAGGGACGCCGGAACGATAAAAAGGCAAGGGGGGCAAACACACACCAAAGGGCACCTCTGTAAACCTTGGTGAAGATAAACCTACAATTATGTGTTGACTTGCCAATGAAAGCAAACGCACTTAATCAGGTCACATTCAAGATCACACCTCATGATTTTGCCCATGCAAAAAGCATCACTGGAAACGTGATTTATCAGGTGTAGTATTTTATAACTTAAAGGGCACTTCTGCCCCCCTTGCCCCTACTAACAAAAGGCAAGAGGGGCAGCTGCCCCTCCTGCCCCCCCAGCGTCCCTGCTTGCAATATAACCAAACTTGTGGAATGCATCAACAGTTTTCACATAAGTTGCAATTGCATTTGGATCATGTAAATTGTCTGGTTCTTTTTCCAACTGCACATAGACTGGCCTATTATACTCATTTAGGTACTCGAACGCTTCCTCTAATATTTTCTGTCTTTCACCTGAATGACATGATCCAAGAACAGTGGAACAGTGTGCACTTCACTTTCAATTTGCTCTTCTTCAATGCTTTGTCTCGCCATACCTGCTGCACTCTCATCTCTAGCCTCGCTTACTTTTGTTATTTTCCATAAACAATGTACTCAATTCCATCAATTGTAATTTTGCAGTGCGACGTACATTTAAATTTTCCTGGGCAGATGTCATTAGAGCATCTGCATTGCCAGAGTTTAGCACTACATTTATTCATTTAAATTCTATGGGCAATGGACATAACAGGGAAGGTTGATATAGTCCATGAGAACCATGAGTCTGCAATGCTTGTAATGGTCCCAACTATTTCACCTGCAATTACACAAAATAAGTTCATACAAGCTTAAGTTATGATGGCCTAAGACCGTAAGTGTAATTAGCTGCAGTCACCACCTTTTGTGTTGTGATAACAAATTTCTATTTTGGACCAAAATGGTCTTTGTGGTTTGTTTGAAGATAATTATCATCATGACTAATTTTTTTTACAAATACAGCTTTCAAAGATTTTGTGATGTTTTAAGATAGCTACGATAACAATTACTTCAAAGAACAAGTCACAAATTATGATCACTTTTGTCTAAGCAAATCAATCAAAAAACATGTTCATTTTAGGCTAGTATTTACCTACTGGTAAATACTGGATGGTAAATACAGATAAATACTGCTGGTAAATACTGGCTTGTAAATTCACTACAGTACCTGTATAGTCTGACTTTCTGTTGGCATGTTTGGAAGAGGACCTAAAATGAAGTTATTTTTGTGTCACTTCATTATACAAGGACAATGTACAAGCTGTAATGCAACTAGATTATTTTACTTTGGTATGCATTAATCAAAATGCAACCAATTACTACCTGGAGGTGAGAAAAGGTATTTTGGTTTATTCCACTTGTTGGGTTGATGTTTCCTGCAGCAAGCTCATTGGCAAAATGCTTGTCCAGGATGCTGATTATTGTGTTAAGAAATTTATTCTGACCATCACAACAAGTGCTAATAACCCAGGACTGCAAAGATTTTGGTAGGCTAGGAGTGGCAAACTACAATGGCAGTGAGTTTACTAGGAGGTAGCAGCTAGCTTCTCTAGTAAAATGGAAATTGTTCATCAAAATGTTCATCAACCAGCCCCTCCTCTGTGTTAACAACAGTAAATGGTAACTAATGAAATTCCCATCCTTACCTTCTGCAGATAAGTCAAGTTCGCAAACACAAAGGCTGAATATTTTTGTATCATTTTTGTTTTTAGCTATTAATAGTATCGATACTATTTGAATATTTACTGAGAGTGAACCAAGTTGAGTGCTTACAGTACATAAAATAAAAGCAATCAGAAGCATTTAATTATTATATATTGTTGTATATGCTTTAAGTAAACACTACAAATGGAATCACTCCAGCTTTTTGTATTGAAGATAAGTATTTAGTGAAAATATGTAGTAATTACCTATAAAATAGTCCAATATAGTACCTATATTTATAACTCACCTTTCGAGATATTTGCCATGTTGTGATAAAATTGCTAACGCTTTATGGATCCAACACGAAGCGTCGACTGCCACAATTCGTCCATAAAATTCGCTGATATGCACCTTATTACCATATTTCTCTATGTGTGGGAATAAAGGCAATTGATTCCCATCGAAGAATATTAAATTAGAGTATTTATTTTCGCTGACACTGATTGTCTCTGATGTTCACTCGGTCAAAGCAAAATGCAAATGAGGTGCAATTGCAATTCAGGCGCGAAAACCCCATCACGCTTTGCGGTCGTATTGCGCACACCGCCTGATTTTGAATGCTGCAAAATGTTTTGGTATTATAAGGCCAAAAAAAATATGTGGGTTTCCGGTTTTCCGAACCTACCTAGCTTTTGGACGCCAAAATCCCGACCCTAAACTTTTATAATTGGATCACGCTCATAGAGATTATAAATAACACTAGAGGAGGCATTGTAATCTTAATTAAGTAAAAAAAAGGGAACGCGACTATTGGGGGGCAAATTCAAGTCCCGGATGTGTATTCGTGTTCCCATTGGTGACGAGTTTCAAATCAGCCAATGAGAGCACGGTTTTATATCTGGGACTTGAATTTGCCCCCCATTAGCTGCGTTCCAAATTTTTAAACTCGATGCCTCCTCTAGTGTTATTTATAATCTCTATGATCCCGCTTGTAAGTGTTTCCACTTAGAGGAAAACGTTTTTGGAAAATGAAAATTTGAGGCAATATTAGGAAAATATATGTTTGGATATGGAAGCACTGACTAAACAAAATGGCGTCCAGTTGTTAGGAAAATTTAAAAAAAAGTTAAAAAATAGTTAAAACCGACCTACCCTACCTAAGTTTTTACAAGAGGAAACCGGAAACCCACATATTTTTTTGGCCTAATAGGCAATGAAGTATCATAATCATCCAATATGGCATCGCCACATCAAACCACTCAACCTTACTGCTGAATTATTAATAAGCAAAATTTCAAAGATTTTATCTACAGTGAAGCCATCCCAATGTAAAATAGTAGCTCTTTATTTTATGGGACTTTTTTTATATATTAGCCTTACTTCCCCCTGGTGGAAAAAGTCCTGTGTATACGGCCCTGCTCTGTGTGTGTTTGTTCTGCTTTGCCGGGCACATTAAACTGGATGCGTAATTAGCGCGTTATGCGTGAAATGTAAATTAATTCGCTCGCGGAGGTGTGCAGTATCCAAGTACCTTCTAGTTTCTCGCTGTTATGGTCTCATTATTTCCATGTTTTAGGTAATTTGCCTATTTTTGGATGGTGATCGATGGAGTACAACAGGAATGACAGTTGGTTCGATTGAAGAAGAATATATTGAATGTTTGACAAATCATTTATCGAGTTTTACAATGGTTGTGCTTGAGGTACAATTTTAATGCCCAATTTCTTCCGAATTTTTATTCTGATCTGCATATTTTCAGATTAACTTTTGAAAAGTTGGGCGGCTTCAGCCCCCTAGCCCCTCCCCTGTCTCGGTTCTGTAGCTTGTGCAAAAATGTGTATATTCAAGTATATATTTCGTTAATTAAGCTCAGTGAATCGGATAACGTTGCTTTAAAGTTCATCACTTATATTGGATCTGGACTTTCACTGGCTGGACTGTTTATCACATGCGTTGTCTATATTGTTCTTTAGTAAGTATGGTATGATTGCTGGAAACTAAACAAAGTGTCAATGTAATTTTGTGATTTTAGTCTTTCCGCTGGTACTGTCTGTTGTAGGCATTTATGCTTCTCAAACTGATGACAACTCAAAAAATATATTTCTATTTTAAAGCTTACAACCGACGTTGACACGATTTCAAGATTTTAAGCAAATATTGTTTGTTGGTTGTCTGTTATTTGTCTGTTGTTGGTTGTCTAATGTATGTTGTCCGTTGTGTTTTGTGTGTTGCAATGTGGAGGTCGGCTATTTTGCGAGTCTGCGAGTTGCGAGTCACAGCACAGGACCCCAGGTTATATAATTATTTATATTTTAGCCTGGTTAGCATTGGGCCGTCCGCACCGGCGGACCTGCTCTTGTGGTTATTACTAAAAATAGAAGGAAGAGGCATAGCGCCCAAAATAGGCCAGTCTTGCATACGACGCCCAAAATGTTCCTCAATTTTTCGACTTTACATTGCATCTACAGTAAGTGGGGCCACTTAGAGAACACTAACCAATCGCATTGCAGAACAAAAAGAAAAATCTAATCAATCTCGTCCAATCAAAAGAAAGATTCAGGAAGCCATTAATAGCAGTGTTTACTTTTACAAGTCTATTTTTACCGTTTGACATTCGTTTATTTGTTCAAATTGTTTTTGGCCTAATGCTGATTGGCTAATGCGTCGTTTGTTGATTTTTTCAATTTTGGTTCTGCAATGTGATTGCTTTGTGTTCTCTAAGTGGCCCAACTTATTGTAGACGCATTGTAAATGCATTTCTTTCGAATTTAATCAACAAGGGGGAATTCTCGATGTTGACAATTTCGCTCTAAACCAATCAAAATGCGTAATTGGTTATTGTAGGTAGTTGTCTTGCGAGCACAGAAAGCCCACTTCCGGTAAAAACATATACATTTCAACAGAAAATATAGGGTCTCAAAGCTTCGAGGGGGTCAAGATTTAAATTTTTTAATTGGATTTAACATGACAATTAACGTAAAATAAGAAATTTTCTAAAAATTTGCTACTGGGATTTGCGTTTTATTGCCTAGTTCTAAAATTATCTGCATTCAAACTTACGCGCTTTTTATACGCCGCTGTTCGAATGCCGATAACTTTATTTAAGACCGCAATGCGGGCTAAAAATATAAACAACCTGGCCCAATGCTATGCGCGCTAAAATATAAACAACCTATAGTATAACCTGGGGTTCCTGTACTGTGACTCGGTCGCAGATTCGCAACTCGCAGACTCGCAACTTGCAAACTCGCAACTCGCATACTAGACAAACTCTGTAATGTGTCTTGTCTACAGTGTGTATAAAAGGCTAGTCTTTGAAATTCAAATTAGTCATAATTATTAAAAATACAGTGATCTCATTGTTCTAAACTGCGTATAGAGTTAATGATACGCGACGAAAACATGTCTTATTTACAAAAGAGATCAATTATAACTCATTTTAATGCTGCTTGTACTGTACAGGGTATTTCATTGAGTTGTCCGTACATGTCCCATAAGTAGAAAATCTTTTGTTTTACGGCTCGCTAATTGATTAGCAGTGATAATAAATTCAATATAATATGACTAATTTGAATTTCAAAGACTAGCCTTTTTTTATATACCCTTTATTATCAACAGTCTGTTATTTATCGTCTGTTGTTCGTCAACAGAAATTACCATAAATACCTAATTAATAATAATCTTTTGTTATAATAATTTATCTTTTGTTAATTATATTTACTCTTGTATTACTTATTTCTCTTGTATTTTTTTCAATATTTTATTTGTTTTTAAATTTCAGCAAAGATCTTCAAATTTTAACGACCAGTCGTCACTTGGTACATTTGAACTTGCAGATTGCTTTGGGTTTGACACAGCTTGTCTTTCTTGCGGGAGGAAGTGCCACAAGTAATGAGGTTGGTAATTTATAGCATTTTGCATGGACGTCGCAGTTCGTCGCAGAGCTGAGTCAATGATATTATTAACTCAGTTCCAACTTTGCGAGACAAATTACACTAACAGTTGTTGGTCTCTTATGCATGTGTTTGTCGAATACAACGCGTGTGAAAAATATTAGTTGCTTGTGTGAGATATTGTTGCTTGAGAGCTATCTTGGTCAACATTAATATATATCTAACATCAGAATTCCACATTAATTGCTGGAAAGCAACGCCTTTGCACGATTGCAAGTAAATTTTAAAACTATTAAAATGCTAAGTTTACATTTGAATTGTATTCGACATATACTGTACAGCTATTTCAATTAAGGTTGTCCACGAGTAAAGCGGAAAAGTAGTCGAATACGAGCGCGAAAGACTTGCTGGGAATCGCTAAAACATTGATGAATTTTTTAGCGATTCTCATCAGCCTTTCGCGCTCGTATTCGAATTTTCCGCTTTGCTCGGGGACAACCTTAATTAAAATAGCTGTATACGCATATGTCAATATGAAAATTGATGCATAATTATAACACAGTAATTCAATTACCGTTCACAATTATCCCGGAGCAAACGGCACAGAGCGCCGTTCCGGCCTGGTACTAAATCCGCCCGGCTATTTACACCGGGGAAACGAAAGCATTAGCATCTAAAGTCACAGAATAAAGATCCATACAGAAGGGCCACTTACGTCGGAAGCTTTGAAGTTTCTGTCCTCGCGCATGTCGCATTACGCATGTTGGCCGCATGCTGCTCCACTTCTAGCCTGTAAACTGCATATTTTTGCATAAAAAAACGAGGACACGTTGCACCACCGCTGAGTGGCACTTCTATTACTGATCTTTATCCCGGACTAAAGGCGGATTTCCAGTCCTCGCACGAAGCTCCTCGCAGCTCGCTGCGAGTGCATGCATGAGCACTTTCATCCAATCACAATGCTAAACAGTTATTTTTAATTAAATGAAAGCACCCGCAGCGAGCTGCGAGCAGCTTCGTGCGAGGACTGGAAATCCGCGTTAACGGCGCCGTGCGAAAGTACTAATTCCGCCCGGCTATTTACACCCGGGGAAACGAAAGCATTAGGGAAGTCTAAAGTGGTGTCATGGTGTATGGGTAGACCTCCTCACTAATCTTAAAAATTTCCCGGATTGCCAGGAGTGGGATAAACAAGTTTTCAATTTTGAAAGACAAATATTTGGAAAATTGTTTCATATAGCCTACAAGAACTTTAAAGCTATTTTTGTTTGAATAAATGGGGAGAATTTATTTACTCTGAGAAGTCGTGAAATATAGGGCATTCAAGTTTGCTTTGATTAAATAATGTTTATGAATTATGTTGCTTTAACTTTTTGCCTATAACATGAACTGTTTTCCTTTCCAACAAAGCTGTAAGTTTCCTAAATTACCCTGTTTAATTTAATTAAGAAAAAACCCTTAAAATGTAAAGGAGGGCAAATTGATTTGAATACGGAACTGAAATTATCTAACAATTTGAACCTATAATAGTTTTGTTTGTGGAAACACCACGTAAATTTGTTACTGCAAAGCTTTCGATCCGTAAACCCGGATCTTCATCAATGCTAATAATATGAAGATCCGGGCTTACGCATCGAAAGCTTTGCAGTAATAAATTTACGTTGTGTTTCCACAAACGAAACTATTATATGTTTTATCGCCACGCAAATGTACAAAGAACTTAATTTGAATTTAATATTATGTTTTATTGGCAACTGTAGTTTTAATGAACATCTCAAAACATTTTACGTAGCATTTCAAGTTAAATTTTAGTGTTGGCCATTTCCGAATACTTCATGTTGGCCTTTTCCGCATACTTCATGTCAAAGACAAAAGTTAAAATTCTAGTGAATTCTTCGGGAATTCGTGAAAAACATAAATCGCTTTTCACATAAAAAAAAACGCTTGTGAGACTTAGCAATGACAAAAGTACGACAAAGCATGACTTAGCATGACAAAAGTACTGGATGCTGATTGATTGAGAGGAGTACAATTATTTCATTAATTGTACTACAGTACAATTAATGATTTTCCCAAAACAAACAAAATGGCGGAAAGGTATTTTAAACACAGATTAAAATACGAACGTACAAATGCACCAAATTGTGTTTCAACAAAAGAACTAAATGAAAATACGGACAAAGCCACCAAATTTTGGTTGAAAGTCTGGCAGGACTGGGCTTTAACTCGCCCCGGCGGCTCGTCCAATTTTGGCGAAATTTCCAAACATCACTCATACTATTAATCCATAATTGTACTCGCCATCGCATGATTACCTATACAAAGCTTTGGAAACATGAGTAACATATTGTACATAATTTTTATTGTGTGTATATGTCTATCGTGCTTTTCGCGGTCAGACGTCGACGTTTGCCGGTTTTGAGTTTTGACTTTGAAAGGACAACCTTAACTGAATTAGGTGTAGGCTATATATTATTATTATTATTATTATTATTATTATTATTATTATTATTATTATTATTATTATTATTATTATTATTATTATTATTATTATTATTATTATTATATATAAATAGGCTAAGTAAATTACAGCAGCTTTGCGGTATAACATAATCCCAACGAGGCTACTAGTCACTTTATAGTTGACTTCTTTCTTTGGGAAATATAATTATTTTCACTTTTTACAGTTCATACTTTCTTTTCAAATTGTGTGCTTCCTGTAATTTGTGCTGTAAAAAATAATAATATCAATTAATGTACATTGTTCTTATTCAATATTTATAGATAATTTGTAAAGTTATTGCAATCTTGGTGCATTATTTTTCTTTGGCTGGTTTCACATGGATTCTCCTTGAAGTTGTAATGCTGTATTTAAAACTCATTGCAGTGTATGATGGGGAGTTTGTGAGAATGAAGAATTTCCTGTTATTTGGTTGGGGTATGATTTATATCTGTAACGACAGAAATTAATGCCTATAAAAACTGTCTTGCCCGACATAAATTAAACTCCCAAGAATATATAAAGTATTCAGAGTTTCTCCATGCAGGGATTTCTCCATGCTGAATTCGCCATGATGGATCCAAGTTCCATTTCAAAAAAGAACAGTCCTTTGCCATATTCATCGAACATGGCGGCTTTGACGTATTTGTATACAAAACTATCGAAATATACAAAAATGATTTGTGTACAAAACTATCGAAATATCTAATAATCTTCTAAAGCCTTTTAATTACTGTTGCTACATTAAATGTCTGTCTATAAGAAAGATGTGACAATAAATTTGCCAGCATGAAATCGTTGGTGCTTTATAAATTATAAAAATAATGTAGAGACTAAGTTAAAAAGCTTTACGAACAGAAATTTTCCGAAAAATCTGGGTGCTTGTAGCCTAATATGGTGGCAATCTAAATTCTCATCCCCCTCCCACCAAATCCATAATTTAAATTATTTAAACCTTGAAGCTATTTATATCATTAAATATCCAGATAAAACTCTCTATATGGTATACGACTTTTCCATTCCCATTTTTGTATCTGTCATTCACAGTTCCAGTAACACATGTGCGTACAAACTTCATCTCACAGTCCAAAAATAGGCAAAGCGCGTTTCCATTTTATCGCTTCAGGATTCAATTTAATTTAATGATATATTGTGTATATTTTTAGCTATCACTAAAAATAATTTTTCTTACAAGTTTTTGAAATATAAACAGGATTCCCTTTGCTGTTAGTTGGTTTATTTGCTGGGGTGAATATTGATGCTTATGGTAATGAGCAATGGTACAGTAACTGAAATTATTTAATTTGATTTCTCATGCATAACAGTATATTTGAGCATTTCATCATAGCATTTACCGCTACAAAAACGATTAGCTTTAGTGTTTCACATATTACATATTATATTTGTAAATATATCAGGATTATTTTGGGTATCTCACTCTATTGAAAAAATGGGTTTTGTAAATCGAATTTACAAATGTAATTTTTTATACATTTATTTATACCTGACCAGGAGCAGTAGTCAAATATGCAACTATAGGCCTCTGAAGAATTTAACCTATGTTTTCTTGTTTATATCACGATTGAATCGAAAATTGCTACGAATGATGTTTATAATTACGATGAGAGTGTGGCAAGAACCAATCCGGAACCACGCATCACTTGGAAGAGCGGAGCACCGCACCAGCGCTTCGATGCACAAACTGATTCGATTACATCATTTCATCAGTATTAAACACAAGCTCTATCCGGTATAGGTCTGCGTCGCTACGCAAGCTATCCGATACAATGTGAACGTAGCCTTATACTGTTTCGTCTGTGAATAAGGGTAAATGCCTAAATTTAAGCATGATGGGAGGTTTTTACCTTAACCCTGCCGCACACGAGAGCAATTTGCTGAGCTAACCGCCTCGTGTGGCAGCTAGCTCAGCAAGTTTTTCTCATGTGCGAATAGTTTTCGTGAGCCTCGAGAGGTCAAATCATCACGAAAATTATACGCACACGAGAGAAACTTGCTGAGCTAGCTGTCGTGCGAAGTGGTTAGCTCAGCAAGTTGCTCTCGTATGCGCCAGGCTTTATGTATATAGGTTATTTTGAGGCAACGAGGGAATATGTGCATGATTTATTCACCCGAGGTGCCTCAAAATAACGTACTTATTTTTTCACATTGCGAGGTCGAGTTAATGAGTCAGAATAGAAATAATTCTTAATGCCATATTGCCTTCGTTATGTTTTTTTTTTTCATTTTTTGTGCTGCAAAGACATTACACAGGTGAATATTTGAGGGGATTATTAGACGGAAATTGAATAGAGGGGAATACTGAATATATTCCCCAATACTGAAGAAAGGAAACCGAGCAAGGTGAAAAATAAGAGTTAACATTCTATTTTGTTCAGGTGCTGGCTGTCTAACAAAGACGACGGATTTCTGTGGATTTTCCATGCACCAGTGATCATCATAACATCTGTAGGCATTTCAATGTTTTATTTAAATGTGAGGCACCATCAGGCTTTTGAAGAAGATTAATTCATTTATTTATTTTTATATTTATCGACAGGTAACTCTTGTTGCCGTAATTGCTGTGGTTCGTGTGTTGTGTGTCGCGTCGAAGTCGGAAGCAGCAGATGCCAAGAAGAGAATCATGTAAGTTATATCATTTTTGTAAAACAATGAAATTTTTATATTATATTTTGTCAAAAAGTTGTTTCAAAGCAGACAAGTCTTAAGGCTTTTATTATTAATTCATCGCTCAAAACGCCACCGTACACTTGGAGAACTTGCTTACGCCAGCAGTTACGAGTGACGCCCAGGTCAGCTGATAGCTCCAGACTCCAGTGTGCGCCAGGCTTTAAACGAAATACTACAGATCGCAGACAGCTACAACCAAAATATTTGAAATGATTTTTGCAATGAAGAATGTAAATTTCATTATATCTTCTCTAGTTCTGCTGCCCGTGGTGTTGTTATATTATTCCCTACTCTTGGATTATCTTGGGGATTTAGTGTTATCTCCGCCAAACATGATGCCGTGGTCTGGAAATATCTCTTCGCAATTTTTACTTCGTTGCAGGTGAGGGAGTACAATAATTCCTTAGTGTTATACATACACAGGGTGTATAAAAAAAACGCAACATCGGAATTTCCTAAGATTCATGCACTTTGCAATTCTTAAGCATAATTGAATCGAATTGCTAA